CACGCCGGCCGCAGCCCGCTCGCCGCGCCGCCCCGCGCACCCTCGCGCGTTCGTGCCCTCGCCTTGCCTGCTTCTGCGCCCTCCCTGCGAGTGCCTTTGCCCGTTTCTCTGCCCCCAGCCCTGCTGTGCTCCCGCCCCCAGCACGGTCCCGGGGCAGGCGGCGCGCCACAGTGGAGCGGGGCGGCGTGGAGAGCGGGGCCGTTAGCACCGCTCCCCGACGGGGTGCTGCGCGTTTATCACCCTGGCATCTTTGCTAGCCCAGTTGTAAGAAAGGAAAGCAAACAGATCGTGTTGTAGCTCATCCCACTTACGTGTGATGCGAAGATACGTTGATTGGCAGAATGAAATTCAGAAAGTTGAATATCGTATCATTGTTCGAAGAGCGGCGTTGTTTTGTTTTGTTGGGGAGTCTTGCTGTGTTGCCCAGGCCTGGCGCTGAACTCCTGCTCGTAAAAGACCCTCCTGCCTCTGCCTTGGAGATTAGCTAGGACTTGCAGATTAGCTAATGTTCTGCCAGGTGCATATAACCACGCCCAGCTGTAATAGTGGAACATTTTGGGCCAGTGCTAAATATTTTGTAAAGTGTTGTATTAGCTCTAAAAAATATACGTGTATATAGTTTATCCATGAGTGCTTGGTTTTATTTTGAAGCGTTTATTATAATTTTTTTTAGGAAGAGAAAAGAGCAAAACTTGCAGAGGCTGCAGAGAGAAGACAGAAGGAGGTGAGATTAAAAATAAAACGGTGCCTGTTGAGAAAACTAGGGTTCTACTTTGCTCTCCAGAACTATCACCAGAAGTATTCTCTAGTGTACGTGGTGTCTGATACCCTAAATGATATTTAAAGATACCCATTTTCCCATGTCTCATAAATTGTTTTAATGCATTTTTGTCATTTAATGTATGAAAATTAGCATAAACGTGTTTTCTCCAATCCATGATGCTCCTGTCATAATGTTCTCCCTTACACTAAAGTGCCCGTGTCTTGTGAAACACTGTTAAATGTGAACTAAGTTTAGGGAAGATTTTTGCATGATTGCAAAACAGCCAGTGAAGAAATGACTATATTTTCATAAGGCTGCTGTGGAAATGCTCTACATCCAAAATAAGCCAACTCCCCAAAGACAAACCTAAATGCAAAAACACCTTCTGCACACCAGGTACTGATTTTTGTTATTTTTTTGTACCCTTTATTCAATTTCTTAAAGGCTGCATCTCGGGGGATTTTAGATGTTCGATCTGTGGAAGAAAAGAGAAAGAAAAAGGAAAAAATGGAAAAACAAATTGCTACTTCTGGGCCTCCATCAGAGGGTGGACTTAGAGTACGTATTAAAATTTATTTGAAGTCTAACTTAACTGGCAGTTTTTAAGAGCTTATGTAGTAATCCGTTCAGTAATTTTCTCTGGAAGTCTCTTGTGAGAAAATTTTAAAGTAACTAATTTAGAAAAAGTGTCCATTTATTTACCAATCATTGGAATAGATTTGCTTTTTTCTGAAGTGAAAATTACTTTTATTTTTTTAAAATTAGCATATTTAAATACGTATTCCTAAAATCTTCCATTTTTCTGAGACAGAGTCTGGCTGTGTAATGTAGTTGAGGGTGGGCTTGAAAACTCTCAGCTGTCCCGTCTCAGCCTCTCAAGTGCACCACCTTGCCTGGCCATTGCTAATCTTAAACATGTCAAAAGCTCAAGCAGAATGGGAAAATGTAAAGAATATAGAAATTATCCAAATCCATACCATTGTGACAGGCGTCACTTCTAGTCTCTGTTTACTCACGAAGCATTACTGGGTTAAAGCATAAATTCTGTCTCATAGCTTAAACTTTTCCACCCTATGATTTGAGCTCTTTCATCTTCCCATTGTCACTCATGGTCATAGCTATATAAGTGTTACTTTGGACCGTTGGGTGAACAGGTGGGGTGGGACACGTTCTTCCCAGTGTGTCTGTCACAGAACTGGGTGCTGGTTATATAATAGACAGATGACGCGGTCCTGGCAGTCTAGCAGGACAATGAAGGTTTTATTTTACTTGTATAGCTCAGGAAAATCAGGGTTCAGATATGAAAACTTTATTCTTCTTCCCTTTTTTTCTTTCTTGTGCTGGGGATTGAACCTAGGGCAGTGTGCCTGCTGAGTATCTACCACTGAGTTACAGCCCCACCCCATTCTTGGTCCATTTTTAAAAACTACTTTCTAAAGTGAAACACATTTGTGAAATGGACAGTGTCCTGAACTTCAGCCATTCCTGTTTAACTCACCAGTGATTCGGAAATGTGCTGCAGCTGACTTCCTGTCTTTAGGATTCAGGTTCGGTTTGGCTTTCACACAGCCCACATACACATGCATATCTATACATACGGAAGTCTTTAGAGGCTTGAATCTTATGCCATTTGTAATGTGTCAGAAGGGGATACTATATAAAATACTCTATTTTCAGGATATATAATATACAATTCAGTATAGCTTTCCCTTTCCTTAAATTGCAGGGCAGGTAGTTTCAGGGTGTTCTGAGCAGAAGAGACTCAGGCTCAGGAATGTCACATAGAGATAAGCGCTATCTATGTCATGTTAGCATCGTATGTTTTTCCATCTGCTCTCAGTTACTGGGTGAAACTCTAAGAAAGCCATTTTTCTTTACAGTGAAATTTTGAGAATGTATATGATTGTTCACTTCAATATTAACATATATATGTAATAGGGCCATTTTGCTTAGGTTATTTTTTTTTTTTTTTTTTTTTTTTTTGGCGTATCTCCACAAAGGAGTAAAATAGTTCTGGTCAAAGTTGGAAGATGATGGGGTCAAGTCTTTATCAGAAATATAGATTGTTGCTTTCAATAGTCTTTGGTATAAAGAATTCCATCCATAGGTTTAATTCATATAGGGTTCTCAGAACCAAACTAGAGGTACAAAAAGTAAGTTATAGAACCTGGAAGTGAAGTTTAGTTCCGCTACTTCATAAAAGAAGCATGGGAAGTAATTCAAATTCACATACAATTTTATAAGAAAAGGATTCTAAAAGATACTTATTTTACCAGTTGTAAGCTAATGAATTTGACACCTGCTTTTAGTTCTAAGAAAGAAATGGGCTTTCTTGCGTTTTTTTTTTTTTTTTTCTTTTTTCTGTACCGGGAATGAAACTCATGACCTCGTGCTTGCCAGGCAGGTGCTGTGCCACTGAGCTGAATCCCCAGCCCCAAAATGAGCTTTTTTTTTTTTTGTCTTTTTGAGACAGGGTCTCGCTATGCAGTTCAGGCTGGCCTTGAGCTCACTTTGTAGCTCAGGCTGGTCTTGAACTGGCAATGATCCTCCTGCCTCAGCCTCCCGAGTTCTGGGATTACAGGCATGCGCCACCACACCCGGCTCCCTAAGTGAGCTTTCTTAATTAAACCTGTAGCTTCCACATCCTGTAGCCTGCAGATGAAAAGGAAATGAGCCCTTATGGAGCTTTTGGTCCCCTCATAGGTACTCAACACAAACAGAAAACATTTGCTTTAAGAAAAAGTCCTTTTATTTTCTTGTATACTGTTCTTAAAATGAGTCTCTCCAACTTCCATAGTAAAATGGCTCCAGGGCCACGCACTAGGCAGTGGAGGAGCGTTTCCTTCACAGGGGCCCATCTGCAACAGCACTGCACTGCCCAGCGGGGTCGCTGCCCCTGGCCCCGCTCACTGGCCGCAGGGCTCCTCTCCTTACCAGCTGCACGGTGCATCCTGAGCAGGAAGCTAAAAGGAGGAGTTTTGGAGCCTCAGGGACAACACAAAGCACAAGGCAGAGAGAATCTTGGCCTGGGGTCCTTAAAGAGCTGCTGTCTGCCTCTTTCCATGAGCTGTCCCGAGAGAAGGTCACACTTCCTGTCCCTGTTTCCACACCTGCACATTTCCTTCCTGATCCGCTCTGCCACAGTCCTGCCTCACTACCGCAGGTGGTAACACTCGTTCGGTGACCACGTCAGGGTGCAGCGTGCGATCTGTACTGGACAGAGCAGTGCTGGGGAAAGGCAGCTGGCCCCTGTGTGGTAGCCATCAGCTGCTGCACCTCAGTATCCATGGGAGTTTAAGAAAAGAACTTCCTACCAGTCAGAGTCTGCCACATTGGATTTTAGCTGTGGGGCATTTTTAACTCCCCATAGTTTTTTTGTTTTTTGTGTTTTTTGGTACCAGGGATCAAACTTCAACCTTGCACTTGCCAGGCAGGCACTGTGCCTCTGAGGTATATCCCTGGCTTGCCCATGGTATTTTTAAATGTAAGCCCAGACTGAGAATCCATGCACTAATGATTTTTAACACTAGTATTAAGAGACGGTAGAGTCCAGGAGTAACAAAAAGCAAAGTTTAGAAACCCTGAATAATACATAGTGTATCTTGAAAATAGTGTATTTTAGATAGTATCCCCTGCTTACAGATTAAAAAGGGCACAAGACTCAAGGCAGCAAGAAGTCCTGTATTAAGAACAGCAAGTTTGCATAGGTTAACTCTGTATTTTGTACTCAGTTACAGGATAGCTGTTTTGAAAAACGTATAGCACAAATATTTTTTGGTTGTACCTGGGAAGCATTACTCACAGGATTTACATACCAGTGGTCCCTTTCCAGTGGCTCTTTCTAAACTTCATACCACAGATTGAATAGATTTGGTTACAGGAAGCGACAGGTGGAATATTTTTTCAACCGGAGATAGGAGAAGACCTTGTCACGGCGTTATCTAATAAGTACTACCCTTTCGTGGCTCTCTGGCTCAGATAACAATTCCTTCATTTCCGTGATGTGCTTTTATTACGTATTATTTGTGTTCAGTAGTGTTTTTGTCTCCCTTTGCTAACTACTGGATGTGTGGCAGTTGGTGACTCATGGGATTAACACACTGAGGGGCATCCTGTTTATATGGAGGCTGGGAGCAGAGCCCAGGCCCCCGCCAGGGCCCCTCTTTCAGGATGTCACGTTCCCAGCACACAGGGTGGTTATTCGTGAGAAAGCAGGGGGAAGCGGCCTGTCCAAGGCTCCGCAGAGCTGCGCCGCAGCTGCCCAGTGACCAGCCAGGTGTTCTGTCTCGATGGTGTTAAACCGTACGATTTCAGACTTGGGGCCACGACGTTCGTTTTATTATTAGCTGCTATTCGCAGACAAAAATGTTTTGTGTTTTTAAGTCCTATGTTATCTCGTTTACCTGTTTGCACATTGGTATATTGTTATATAACTTTAAAAAACCTTGACTTTTGTCTCTGTGCTTTCATCTTTTCTAGTGGACAGTTTCATGAAGCATCACATGAGCAGAAGCGCCTCCTGCCAGTAATTGGCCGTCATCTGCAAGCAAGTGGGCTTCTTCCGTGGAATTTCTTCTCCTTGGGTACTCGAGTCAGCTTGCGTAATGTTCGTGCCCTTAATTGCAGTACTAAATCTGTGACGGTATTGGGAAAAAGTTTGATTTTCAGATTTAGAGAATGGCCAGATCATTCATTAAATTCTCATGTTCTTTTTCTGCAGGAAATAAGTGATTTGACATTTTTTCAGTTAAAATATGGATCTAAATAGCATACATAAATAGCACGTAAAAATCCTGCATACATTTCTAATACTAAAGTTGAAGTTACCTTTTCCTCCTTTAAAATATACTAGCTGTTGGGGGCTGGGGATTTAGCTCAGCGGCACAGCGCCTGCCTGGCAAGTGCAAGTTCGTGAGTTCGATTCCCGGTACCAGGAAAAAAACAAAAAAATAAAAAATAAATAAAAAAACAAAATATACTAGCTGCTTATAGTTGTGCTACATAGCCTTGTGTTTGGCTTTTTTCCAGCTACATATGAGGACTTGCTTAAAGACTTCGTGCCTTTAAACTGATTATCAGGGAAAATCTTAAAACTTCATTTGAAGGGCTTATCTGAAGGAACACGAAACTTTTATAACTTACTAGCCAATATTTATAAGCAAATACTGAATTTCTCCTAATTTGTTGTCTATTTTTTGATACCTGATAAAATTAACGTATTATGTTTTACAGTATAATAAAGGTTTTCTTTGTTGCATTTACAATGACATATTAGCGAGTACCACCAGAGGGCAGTGATGAGCTGTTGTACAGTAACACATTTGGCTCTGTAAAGGTCTTTGATTATTAAGTTAAACTGAGAATTTGGGCGGGTTACAGTGGCTGCTAATATATTTGTCCAAATTTTATAAGCATTCTACTTTTATATTTATTAAAGAATAGTTTTTAGATTGGTACAAACGTGACATTGTTAAAGAAGTATGAACAGAAGAAACAGAAAATCGTAGCTATTGTATTTTAAAGCATACTCATATTAGGAGGTAATTCTGTAGGATGCATAGAGATTTTTATCACCCGGTGCATGCATTTCATATAACATTTACGCTTTTGATTTTCCCTTTTAATATATCTTACATTAAAATAGGAGCATCGCTGTTAACTGTCAGAGATGCTGATTCTTTGAATGGCAAGGTCGTGTGCCTGAGCCCTGATTAAAATTGTAGATACTAGATGCCAACAGGAGCTGCAAATTAAGAAGCCTAGCTCACATAATTACTAAGGAAAACTGAGCCACTATTCTCTCTCAACACTCCCACAAAGATTGCGTCATATTGCAGTGTATTGCACACGTTTATTTTAAAGAGGTTGAACTATATAGTACAAGTCTCTTGACTGTATGTATAAATTACCTTTTCTACTGTGGGATGAAGTACTCTGTGAATATCTAAACAAAACATAGTTGAAGTCAATTTTCTTCATTCTTTAGAGGATTAGTGATATTTTTTCATAAGATTGTGGAATCATCAAACTGCACTTTAGAAATAAAATTTTTGACTTTATTAAGACAATTAGATTTCTTAATTTAAGAGAAGGAACAAGGAGAATTAATGCCTCTGTGGATGTAGAACCAGACCTTACTATCCTTGATCTGTGCCCTCTTGTGTTACTATAAGAAGGATTTTTCTCTTCACTACATCTTTAAAGAATTAGAATATGGTCGTATACACAGCTGTATTTCCAGGGGATAATGTCCTCTTTCTGACCACAGCTCACATCCCCATAACACACGGCTGAACCACGAATGATTTGGTGCATACGTTGCTTTCTGGGAAAATGGGCTTTCCTGCTTCCACCGATGGTGGCTGCTTCCACGAGTCTGACCAGCTTCCTCCCAAGCCACATTGTTGCAGGCACGAATCTGTCAGTGACTCTGGAGTCTTAGCAGCATTGTTAGGAAGGGGAAGAGCAAGGAGAAAACTGGATACTTGATAAGGATGCACAAAATGATCATTAAAGTAAAATGCATATACATCCAGATACTTTTCCTGTAAAGTTATGGGTTCGTATGAAAACCTTAAGTGGGAGTGAATTTCCCCAAATTAATACTTTAAAGAAGGAAAGACCATACTGTTTAATACCTCACCCAACCCCTGTGGGCAGATTACTGAAACACCTGACACAGTCACATGTGTATATGTTAACTATGTTAAAATATCAATGCTTAAATCACATTTTAAGTCTAATCATTCAACTATTACTATGGCCAATAATAAAAAGCTATTGTGACACATTGCATGTTTTTTTTTTAAATATGTCATTCTACTGTTTGATTGATTGTATTGAGAATGTGATTAATAGATTCCCCACATATGGTTTTGTTATAAATTCTTTATTGTCTTTTGGGGACATAATTATATGTTTTCCTTTATAAAAATTGTCTTTGCTTCTGTTTAACAAAGTTTCATCTCTTATATCTTAATTAGAACTAGGGTTGCGAGCTATATCTTTGAAGGATTAAGAACAGCAAAAGAGCTAATGCCTGTTTATTGTGTTCATAGTCTGGGGTTATAAGTGGACATGTTTCTTCGCTGACACTGTAGAGAAGTGATGATGTTAGCCCCCTGGCCTTTTTTAAAGAGAAATAATGGAATAATAAAGGTTCTATGTAGCATCCTTAATACCCCAGGTGTATTGGCATAAGCTTTGAATTTTTCTTCTGTTCAAACTTGTCACTGATAATCATGTTAATTTTCACGGATAATCATACTTTTCCTTAGAAGATAAGAATATATCTTGTCAGTTTTGAATAATTTGTGCATCAGTAGGTCAACAAGAGGTAGAGAGATATGCATGCCAGTCTATGTTGAGGTTTAGAATACATCTCTTTACCATTTCTAGGCAAGCATCTCAAGTTCCATTAAATTGCCCATGCCCTAAACTGATTCAAATATGGTAATAAGGCCCTGTTATGGTTTGAGCCTCAGTGTGCCCCAAAGCCTCAAGCAGTCATGGGGCGTGCTTTTAGAGTTTGATGGATTAAGGGTGTGAGAGCTACACCTCCCCCGCCCCCGGGGGCGGATAGTTTTGCAAAGGTAAGGGAGAAAAAGAGGCTGCTTGCCGCCATCCCTCCCTTTTGCCCTTCTTGTTTTTGCTGTGTTCTGCCTCCGTGAACGCTTGCCCTCTGCCACGTGCCACTCTGCCTTGGAACCAGCTCAGTATGGACTGAAACCTCCACAGACTGTAAGCTAAATAAACCTTTCCTTCCTTAACTTTCAGCGTCAGGTACTTTGTCTCAGCAAGGAGAGAAAAGTAGCTAAGACAGGCCCTTTATTTTGTAAAAAGCCATGGACACAGGGCATTTGTGTGTACAGCAGGTTTTAAAGAAGTTTGTTTTGATGCAGAAGTTTGTGTCCCACAAAAACAGCTTAAATTCTCCAGATGTTTAGTATGCTGTTCTCCCTCTTCTAGGTTTGCTTCCTTTTACAAATATTATCTGAACATATGACCATTCTGGGTTAAGATGTGAATGTGCATAAATTCCTTGACCTAGATGTGGTACTTTTGTTGTATCCTGAATTACATTGGCTATTTTTGTAGCATCCTATTTAGGTTGTGCTGAGTTTTGAGTGAAAGTCCTGCAGCTATGACTATTTTAAGGGAAGAAAGAACATCAGAATTGTGTTTTCACTGACAAAATATCCAGTGTTTATGAGGTGGCGCAATGCACCTCATATAATTTTTGTTACAAAAGTATTCTTTCCTTTGAGCTACTTCGATGGTCAGAGGTTTCTACTTACTAACCCTCATCTACTTTTTTTGTTGTTGTTTTTACTGTTATAGAACAGTCTCTAAAGAAGACAGCTAAGAGCTCCTGAAAATAAATTCTCAACACTTCAGATAGAATAGCTCCCAGAATTCTAAAGTGAACTTAGGGGTCCTCAGGGGTCATGATGCCCACGCATTCACCACTTGTCCTGTAGGGACTACCTAGGATTTCGCCCTGCCACACAAGTGAAGCGAATATGATAGCAGTGGACCACTCAGTAACCTCAGAACAAGTGTGGTCTGCCCCGTGTATTGATAGCATTTCTGATTGTGGTCTTCTGTTCATTGGCTTGGACTTGTATTTTCAAGTCCTTTCTGCTTTTCTCAGGTCAGTTTCTGGACTGAGACTTTTTTAATCTTTTACTCACGTGCATAGAACACCTCTCTGCATTATCCCTTCATGGATCTTAAATCTACTAAAGAGCAAGGGAAGAGGAGCGTACTTGCGGCCTGGCTGGTCCTCACAGAGGAGTGGAACAGTAAGGGACACCTGCCGTTTTTCATTTTCTTCTGAACATGGTTTTAATTTTCCACATCCTTTTTGAGTGATCACTTTGCAGCTGGACCCCAGTGTCAGCTGTGACCAAGTTCTCAGCACTACTTACACAGAACACCCAAGATACACATAAAGAGCAAAGTAGATAGGTAATAGGAAATAGGGAGATAGATCTTTTGCAGAAGGAAGAGAGACCAAGAGATGAGGGACAGAAGAGGAAGGAGCTGGAAAGTACAATGTAAGATGTGTTACGTACGTGTACCAGCTCCCCATAAGGAACACAGTCATTCTGAACTGCTGGGTTACTAACACAGAGTAAAAAGTAGGATAGAAAAAAGGCCATCAGAGAAGTGATACAGGCCCAGTGATACTCTTCCCCCAAATATGTTCATGCTCCATTGCCAGAAACCTATGATGTTTTACAGAACAAAGGGGAAATTGTAAATCTGATCGAGTTAATGATCACCTTAAAGGTGATTGTTCAGTGAGCCCAATCTAAAAAATATCACGGTTCTTTAGAAGTTGAAGACTTTTCCAAGCTGTGGTCGAAGAGTTTGGAGAAAGGTCCACAGAGCGGCTGTATTGCTAGCAGTGAAGACAGACAGGAGGCTGTGAACAGGGGGCAAAGTCACCTCTGGATGATGGAGAAGACAAGGAAATGGGTTCTTCAGGTATCCAGAAGAACCATTCAGTAACAAGATCAGTATTGTTTTGTTGAGATATACTTGCTTTTGAACTAAATTAATGAACTTTCATTATGAAAGACATGAGTATGCTTATGGGAAAAATTGAACCACGAGAGAAAATTTTGATGGAAAAACATCAATGACTATATAGAAAAATAGTGTTCATAGTAATTTGATAACGTAATGATTAACTCAGTTTCATGTTTCAAAAGGTTCTCGTGTTAATGACTGGGTCAGAATGTATTTATCTTCCACAAAACCATTAGGTTTTATTCTTTTTTTTTCTGTACATTTATTCTTGCTTTCAAGAATGATTACCACCCCTTCCAAATTATACCAATAATAATTCAAACCACAGCAAATTATACCATACTGCTATTTTAAAAGTTCCCAGTTAACAAGTTGTATAACTAAACTGATCACATGATAGATTTCTCTTCCCCTAGTTTTTGGAGGGCCAACTCTACATGTATTTCTGATAGAGAAATACTTGCAGTCTATTACCCATTAGAAAAATCCAAACCATATATTTATATATATATATATATATATATATGTGTGTGTGTGTGTGTGTGTCTGTGTATATATATATATATATATTCTTGAGCACACTCATCTCAACAATATGAAGAGGTCCTAGGTAGCCATAATTTAGCTTTTCTTGTAACTCTTAAGGAAATTAGCTCTTTGAACATATACTTTATTTCAAGTTGAAGAACTCATATAGAGACACAACATTTTTTAAATTTATGTTTTTAATTCTTGCATCAGTGAGGACAATACTTTGCTGTTTGCCCTGTCCCAGGTATACAAGGGTATACACAAGCCTGTAACATCATTAGCTACAGCGAATTTACTAGACAGCATAGCAAAGTAGGATTAACTAAAGATATATTTTAATAAGAAAATGCTTTAAAATAACATGAAGTCAGTGACCATTTGACTGTACAATTCATTCATCAAAATAGAAGTGTCAGCTCGTGTGTAAATTACACTGAGGCTAAACAAAGCCTCAGTGCTTAGGAAGACATGTGCTTAGGAATGTGTGAAATTCATCAGCTCTTCTCTCAGGGGGTGTACCCAAAACTTCCAAAAGTACCCCAGATATTTGGTCGGAGATAAGAGATAAACTTCAGGCAGTCTTCCAAACAAATGTAAACTTTTCTGAAGTGGCCTTTCCAGGAAAGTATCACTGCTGTGAATAGCCTGTATTTAACTGATAGTGCTGTTGGATACTTTTAGTAGCACATTGTCACAGTAATCATTTTGTAAAAAATAGCTTAAAAATCCTGCAATTATAAAAATGTCTGGGGTGCTTTTACTCATAGGCATACAGCTGGCACTTTCTGTTGACTTTTCTGCAAATCCTGTTTTCTCTTATACTTTTGTCTTCAGCATCTATAGCTAGAATTGTGTTTCTAATACTGTGTGTGCCCTAAATACTATGCTCACATATTGAGAATTAGTAATTTGCCTACGATTTGACTAATTTAAGTCTGAGTTTAGAATTTAAAAATGTCATTTCCTAAAGAAGCGTTAAAAATAAATAGTGCTACTATAGTTCAGTATGATGACATTTTTCTGTCACACCTTTTTCCAAAGTGGTTTTCAGCACATGTGAACTAAACTGACTACTCTGGAGATGTGGATATGGCCTATCAAAGTCCCTTTGTGGCAACCAATTAGCTTCATTTAATCTCCTTCTTAGCCTTATAGTTGGCAGAGACCACCAAGTAATTATCTGGATTCATGTCCTTAAGGGTTGGAGATTTGCTCTGGATAGGGGATGTTTTGCCATCCACACGGGAGATCTGCAGCATTCGGCAGGGGTCGTGTTTCAACAAATACCCTGCAAAAGTTTCCCATCCGCCTCCCACACGCACCATGACATGTTTGTTGTGCAGCATCTGAAAGGAAAAAAGGGGAAAGTGTTAACATTCTCAGAATCCTGATGGTGTGTGGAATCAACCCCGGGTTCTAGTGAAATTAGTGCTGTTGGTCTCGCATCTCACACCCCACTGTTCTGGTGATTCATTGTGGGCGTTCAGCATATAGTGTATGAGAGAAGCCTTGTTACCCCGTGCAAGTGGGTGTGGAGTAAACATCCCTATCATTGTGTGATACAATCCAGTGGGTTTGGAGGCTTCTCTGACATTTCCATTATAGCTCTCATCACTGCCTCCGGTTTCTGCCTATTTCCTCAAATGAGTGTTCCGTGCTTCCCACCAGGGTATTTCCTTCTCAACCAGGGCTTGGAAGACCGTAGGGTTATGATGTGAACAGTCACGCTAAGCTGCGACACAACAGGGTTGAGGATGTGCTCAGCGAAACCGAAATCTTCCCAGGCTTTCTCTGAGCCCCTTAGGGCAAGGTGTTTTTAGATAACATTTATGTTTTCCTGTAGTGTTTTGCTTCCTGATTGTTTTAGAATACATTTCAAACCAAACCCAACCAAACAAACAAAAAAGGAAACAACTTACCTGTAGACCCAGGAGCCCTTTAGAGCTCCAGTTTAACAAAGCTGTAGATTTAAAAAGTGAACAATACATGGTTCTTTTTATCTTACCAAAAGATACTAGAATTGTGGAGATTTGGCATGGAAAACCAAAGAATTTGACCTTGGCTTCTCAAATATCAGAAAATTAAAGGAAGGCTGTTTCATAATCACCAAAGATCCTGCTCACCTGCTCACCTGCCTACAGTTCTATGGGTGCATAGTGGTCATGTAATCTTGAAGGCGGCAAATTGCAGTTGGGCCTTAGGGAAGCCATTTTTACTGTAGAGCCTATAAAATCCCATTGGATTTCTTGTCCTTCTCTTTTTTTTTTTGGAGGTGGGGGTTGTTACCAGGAATTGAACTAAGGACCTTACACTTGTGCGGCAAGCGCTGTGCCTCTGAGCTACATCTGCAGTCCCTTCTCTTCGTCTTTGTCAGCCTGATATCTGGACTCAGCTGACTCCCATACAGCGGGATGGCTCGGGCTCCTACTACCTTCATTTAATCTTTAAGAATCTGAAGAAATGTAGGGCCTTCCCGCCCTATGCCTGTAGCCACCAAACCTTTCATATGTGTTTCAGGTTTTCACAGGATTTGATATGTCCATCTACAGACTCAGACTAAACACCCTGAGTCGTGGCTGACATGAAGCAGTTAAATAAAAGATACTATGTAAACTGTTAATGTACAAACAACAGTGCCTAGAACTATTGGACTCAACAATATTTAAGTACAACTCTACTGGTCATTCTTAGAGTTTTTAGGATTTTTGAGTAGAAACAGGAAATATCTTTCAGCTAGAATTCTTCATTTTAGCACTATAGTTTGCCCATTGAATAAAATCTCAAAAAGAACCACTGACATACAAAGTGCCGTGGAGGAGTTAGGATTTTGCTTGCAAGTCCTTGGCCTCTCCTGATCTAACCGGGGTACCATGTCCCTGTACAGCTGAAGGCTGAGGACCAGGTGTTCTATGTGATTTGCTGAGGACTCAGATTTCCTGACTCATGCTTTTCTCATGATAGTTCCTACTAAATCAGTAAAACCCACTAAGGCTTTTTATCGTGGGATCAGTATATCCTGATTTCAGGAGTATATTTCTCTACCGCAAACATGAAGACCCGGGGACGGATATGACAAAGTAGCATGTGACCTTTCCTTACACTACACCAGAGATTGCCTAGCTCATCCCCGAACTTCTGCAAGCTCTCAGCCCTGCTAACTACATGTGTTTGTTCCAAACATCCTCAGCAGATTTACTGCACTATGAACAAGCTATTTCAACAAGAAAGAACCACCAGGAAGAACAGTTTTTAGATGATTAACTCCAGGAGACAGTAACAGAAATGAATATTGCTCAACCCCGAGTATACTGATCATTTAGGCACATGATCTGTTTGCAGGTATTTCTTTGTTTATTTATTTATTACTGTAGATTGTAACTATGGTCTTTGCACAGAGCTAAATCTTACAGCCCTTTTTACTTTTTATTTTTCATCTTAATTTTTTAATCCTTTTTATTGTTTTCTGAGAAAGGGTCTCTCTGTGTACGTTTAGGCTGGTCTTGAACTCACTGAGTCGCCCAGGCTACCTCAAACTCACTGTGATCCTCAGGCCCCAGCCTCCCAAGTGCTGGGACTATAGCCACATCTGTTTTGGGGGGACTTTTTGGTGGTTGTTATTTTATCTTATAACAGCACCTTGCAAATTTGCTAAATGGCCAAGGCTGAGCTTGCATTTATGATCCTTCTGCCTCAGCCTCCCAGAGAGCTGGGATTACAGGCTTGCACCACCACGTCTGGTTTATTTGCAGATTTTTTAATGAGTCTGCTGGACCCTGTTAAGTGGGTTCAACATGAAACAGGAATTACATTTCTTCCCATGTGCTCCACATCCTTCCCAGGGAAGATACACACTTATGGTATTTTCAAGCTTTTAAGAGCTGATAATTAGCGGAAAATACTTTTACAATGAATCTAAGTTCATTTATCTACATTGCTAATTGGAGGCTATTAGACATAATTTTATTTCCGTGAGTAGCTTCAGTCTTGAGAAGTAATGGCTTCATCTTACGAAAGTGCCTTTGCTGAGAAGAACAGTTGAGGCATATGCATTTCCCGGTCTCTAAAACGCTGTTGATTGAATCATTGCCCATGATTGTAGGTAGGGGTGGGCAGGGAATGCATCAGCTTGTTGTTTTCTCCTTCTGAAATCTGAAATGTGGCTTTCCTGCGATTACTTCATTCTTTGCTTTTGATTGCTTCTAGACAGTCACTGCAGAGCTGTTTCTCTCCAAAGGCATAGACTGAACATCTTCCCACTCTCAAATTCTGCAAGAAAGCACTCACTGCACGGACAATATAACCATCATAAAACTAGGAGGGATCTTTCTTTCCTTTTAGAAACCGATGCGAGTTCCTGTAAAACATTTTCATATTTTCATGCCTGCTTGAGAAACAACTTCATTGCAGACCGTAAGATTGGGACCTTGCTAATATAAAATCAGGAGGTTTTCTTTCTCCTAAAGGGTCCTTTGTCCCAGCTTTAATAGTGTGCTTTATTTTCTCAGTTTTTCAAGATACATTCAAGTCTTTTTCCCGATCTTTCTTCTGGACCCACACACAGCTCTGAAACGTGGGTCCATATAAATTTTTCAGAACTGTGAAATGCTTCTCTCGTGAACTGGAGCCGGCCTCCTGCTCTTACCCTTTCCTTATCCTAAGCTACATTACAGGTGAACGCACATACATACATAAATGCATTCACACCTGCCACTAAGTGCTTTCTTGATGTAGCCTTTACCAAGGGCCTAATCATCTATAATCCATGTGCACGTGTATTTATCAATAGTACTTAAAACAAAATGGGTCTGCTACATCTTCAAGGACAAACATTGACTCCATATTGAAGAGGGGTAATTATGAAACCCATTACCTTTCCTCGTGCTTCAGTTTGATCACCTCTGAGGTTGAGAGCTTCCTAGGTTGGTACCATTAGGCAGCAATTCCCAGCATGGGATTAAGATACTAAGGTCATAGAGCTTGGTCATCCTTATTGTACAGATTTAATTCTGTGGCTTTTTTTTTTTTTTAACTTTGGGCTCAGTATTAAAAAGTTTAACACTCACTCTATCTCCATGGATAAAACCTTTACTGTTTAACCTAAAAGCAAATTAACCTCCTATAAAAAAGTAAAGCACTCATAACTCACTTTTCCCTCCCTCTATTATGCTACAGCTGATTTAGAAGGTAGATTTTACACTTGTTCTAAGAATTCAATCCATTTTAGAGACTTGAGATTTGTGATATTAGAATCATTACCATCACTTAATCCTCTTATTTTATTCTTATTTTGGTCAGTTCCGTGCTGTCTTCTCTCTGTCCTTCTCAAATGCACTACCTGTCTCCACTCCAGCTGGTCCGCTGATCACATCAGCATTACCGAGCTTGCTTCCTCTCTCCTGATACCTCTGCCAGGTAGTTTACCCAAACCTGCATTGGTTCTTTTCCCATCTTTCTCTTCTCAAAAAGTAGTCCAAGTTCGATTTCTTACAGAACATCTTAACCCCGATTCTTTTTCACTCTCGCTCTTGTACTTTCTTCTTACATCTGAACTTCTTAAGTTTGCACTGGTGTGTGCCCTCCTAGCTTCTTAACTGCAGACCCACAGTGCACATGGCTTCTGCACTCTGCCTCATCGCTGACCCCATAAGAAAGGAAACGTGGCTTTTAGATGCCCCAAATCCCACAGATGGCCCCTACTCCTTACCTGTCTTGATTAGTGTGTCAGCAAGATTTCTGGTATTGTTTGACTGCTCCCTTCTTGTGCTGTACCCCGTGACTACCTGTGACAAGACTCCTTTCTGGACGGCATGCAGCGTAATTAATTGTTCTTCCTCTGCCTTCTTAATAGATTCCATTTATTCCCCCTTTCCAAGTTTTGCTGGTTCAAAGGATTCTGCATGATTCTGAAATTTCTCTACTTCTCTCATTCTGACCTCTCTCCATTTGTGACCTTAGAGTTTTCACGACCATTTACTTTTATCTCAACTTCCAAGGGCTTCAGAATGCAAAGTCCCTCTGGGCCACCATCTTCCACTAAGAGACCCCCATACTTTTCCTGCTAGGGGTGGTGGCCTGGGCTTTCTCTGTAACTAGATACCAAACATATTCATTTACCCCTAAAGGTTTTTCAGGGTCTTTGGTACCGTTGATGCTATTAAATTCAGCACCTCGTCTTCCCCTCAAGCTACTGGAAGGGTGTTCCTGCCTCTAGCACTGCCCCCTCTGATTCATTTAGTGAACTGTCTCCAAAGGGACTTCCTAAAATGCAAACTTGATCTGACTGTCTTCTATCTCAGTAACTTTATTAGTTAGGTCTCTCCTTTAGGCCGAGATTTAAGTTTCCTTA